TTTGATCACCTTTGAACTCCTCTCTGGCTTGAAAATTAATTTCCTCAAGAGTGAGGTTATCTCCATTGGGATGAGCCATCAAGAGAGTAGGCATGTGGCTTGTTTACTAAATTGTAAGCTTGGGGGCTTTCCAATTAAGTACCTCGGCCTACCGATATCGCACCGGAAATTGTCGATCACGGAATGGGAACCGTTATACGGCAAGGTGGCTAATCGGGTGAGCCCGTGGAGAGGGAGGTTCATGTCCTCGGCGGCAAGACTAATTCTCACAAATACTAGTCTTTCCTCCTTGCCCCTCTTCACCACGGGTATGTTTCTCTTAGCGGATGGGGTTCATGCAAAGATTGACACGCCTCGTTCCAAGTTCTTTTGGGAAGGATGTGGAACTAAAAAGAAGTATCACTTAGTTAGGTGGGCGGCGGTCTGTAGACCTAAAAAGTTCAGTGGTCTGGGGATCATTAACTCTAAGATGATGAACGTGGCCCTATTAACTAAGTGGTGGTGGCGTCTGGCCCCAAAAGAATCGGGGCTCTCCACTGACATCCTTAGGGCTAAGTATTTTCTTGATGGAAACTTATGCACGACCAAGTGCAAAGGGTCGCCGTTCTGGAATGGGATCCAGGCCGCTCGACCAGCCTTTGCAGTGGGGGCCAAGTTTGAAGTTCATAACGGACTGTCCACGCGGTTCTGGCTGGATAGCTGGATTGACTCCCGGCCGTTGTGGCAGATTTTCCCCACCCTCTACCAGCTAGTGACGGACACTAACGTGCTGGTTGGGAAGACCCTTAGCTCGTCGCTACCAACCATTTACTTTAAGCGCCTCTTGATAGAGCCTGAAATGGGGAGGTGGAACGAGTTGTTGGCAAAAATTGGGCCGGCACCGCTAAGCTTGGGAGCTGACGTGGTCTCATGGGGTTTGTCGGCCTCTGGGAAATTCTCGGTGAAGTCTTTATACGCCAAGTTGGTAGAAGGCAACACCCTGGATAGTGCCAGAGGGCTATGGAAGGCAGGGATCCCACTCAAGATCAAATTTTTCCTATGGCAAATGTTTAAAAACCGCCTCCCGACGGTGGACAATGTGGCCAAAAGGAACGGTCCTTCCGATGGAACGTGTATTGTGTGTGGGAATCACGAGGATGCGAACCATGTCTTTTTCCAATGTGCGCTAGCTAGATTCGCGTGGAGTGCGGTGAGGGGAGCATTCCACCAAAATTGGAGCCCAGCGTCGGGATCCGATTTGCTTCAGATAGTTCAATCCCAGAAAGGATCTAGTGGCCGTATTGTGTGGCGTTGCGTAGGGGTGCTTCTTTGGGGTTTGTGGTCTATTAGGAGCAAAACGACGATTGAAAATAAGTTTCCTAATCACCCCGCTAACTTTATCTTCAAATGTCATCTCTTCTTACAGATGTGGACATCATTGGGGAAGCACCACGATTCTGAGCGGATGTCGGAGACCATGGAGAAGATCAGAAGCACGTTGACGACCGCGCGGCAGCCTCCATAGTTGGTCTCTCTTTTTTTGGAGTTGAGGTAGTCGAAGGAATAGTGTGTGAACTAGTTTGTCGATCGCTTGTTGTAACCTTGGCTCCTTGATGCCTCTCTGCGTCTTTCATGTTGCGCTACTTTGGTCTGTAAAACCTTTGCACCACTGTGACGGTTGCCTGGTGGCTTTATTAATTTAAAGCCGGATGCTTCTAGCGTCTTTGTTTCAAAAAATACTAGCGATGAAAATGCACCCATGCAGCACGAGCCAGGAGAACATCTTGCACTTAGGCCCATCATGGGTTTTCAAAAGTATGTTAGCGACACAAAATATCCAGCTTACAGAGCGAAAAGCCTGAAAAGGTACCGCAGGTTCAAGAGGACAACACTCGCCACTACCCTAAGAAGCAACTAGCTAAATATTTTTCTAATCTTGATCGAGTTTATTAGAATATGGCCATGGTGCAATATCAAATTAGTAGTATCATTGCTTCCATCATAATTTTATTTTATTTTTGTATTTCTGCAGCATCATGTACGGGTCATGGCGTAGGGAATCCCCCCTCCCTTCCGCCGCACCACCCCACACGAGGTTGTCACCGGGCAAGCCCGTGGCGCAGCTCCGGCCTGTGTCGGAGAATCTTGGATCTAGGGCGGCGCCCCCAGCGAGGCCCCTTGTTTCCTGCGGCGAGCAGTTGGGTTGGCATGGTGTTGGCGATCTGCTCGGATGGCCGACAGATCTTCGCTAAACTGGGGCATCGCGTGGCTGTCTGGGCGGCTACCGGTGCCAGATCCGGCTGCTGGCCATCTTCCCCTTCTTGGTGTGCTTCTCCCACAGCGGATCCTGGCTATGCCGGCGTGGCTGGCCAGCCCCTGGGCTGTGCCCGAATCTGGTGGTTGGGATCCAGACTGGGGGAAACCACTGATCGGCTCCGGCCGGCGACGACGACGGCGATGTCCGCAGGCGTCGAGTTTCTTCATGGAGACGTCGCTCAAGGTCCGCCCTTCCGCTCCCCAACACCTTGCTTCTCTGGTGAAAACCTAACTCTAGTAGGCTACGACGGTGTCCTTGGCGTCGTGACCTTCTTGAAGGCGTCTCCTTGAGAGCTGTGTGGTGGTGGGCACTGTATGGGGTCGTTGACAGCAGCCAAGGGCGTGTTCTTCGTCCAAGCCTTCACTTTCCTCTGGCGCGTTCTGCCCAAGGGCTGTGTAGCTCGCTCTGCTTTGGATGAGCCTCGTCGGCACATTTGGGGTGCTCTGATCCGCTCTTGGGGTTATCCGGCGGTTTCCATCCATGTTCATGGGAACTTTCCGTTCTTCGGTGGTACGACACCTTGCGATTCAGGCAATCCTTTGAAGACGGAGTTTGGATGGATATCGTGCCGGGGGCCTTAGTGTCTGGTGACGGCAGACCATGTAGGTGCATCTGCACTCCCTCTCCAGAGCCGGCTTTGCTTCTGTCCAGATGTAGTCGTGGTGGAGGACCTCAACTTCTTCAGCTGTGTGCTCCATTGTATACCCTTCCTGCTGAAGTGTTTGGGGCTTAGTAAGTTGCTTTCCAACTCCTTTGTATCTTGTTGCTTTCTGTTGTTTGAGTTCTTTGCTGTACTCTGCAGTTGTATTTTGGCCGGTTGATGGCTTTGTTAATTCAAAGCCGGACTCGGCTAGCGCCCTAATCGGGTTCGGCCGCGTCTTTTCTGTAACAGTTTTGCTAAGTCTCAGTCGACTGAAACTTTGTTATGTCTCGTTCGATGTTATAGTCCTTTGATTTTGCATGGAGATTCGTACACAATTTTTCTGTTCACTTTTTTCTTTTTTCTTTTTATTATCTTATATGCTATATCACCTAGCCACACCCTTTCTCTGAAAAGTTTAGGTTTAGTAGATACCGACTAACAAAGTAGATCACTAAAATGTAAACTAATATAAGAGTGTTTAGATCACTATTGTAGTGATCCAAACGCTCTTATATTAGTTTACAGAGGGAGTATTTGCCATCCTTATAGGCAGCTCATTTATTTGCTTTATGTTTTGGTTTCGTGAACAGTTCGCTGCATCGTTTGCGACCATACTTCATGTACGATTGCACATCCATCTTCGGGCAAGTATTTCACGGGCAGCACTCAACCTGGTTTCCCGGTACACCGCCGGTGGGGAGATGATCTAGGTGGGATGCTGGAGTTAGATTTTATATATTTCGATCGAAGAAATAGTGAGTCTGCCAACTCTATTGAAGGAGTCTCCTTTTGTCCCCTAGGGAGCCGATAGCTAGAGCCAGTGTCTGAACTTGATGATCCTGTTGGTGCAGTCTCGGAAACACCTAATAGACAGTGAACTTGACAAGCCATGCTAAAGACACTGGGATCTCGGTAGTAACCGATGCAGGTAAATTATTTGAACACTGTCGGTTATTTCTATACCAAAGATGAAATCCGTCTGCACCTGATGATATTACTACTGTTAGAGTGCAGGCATCAGTGACTACTGAAGCTGAAGTTAGAGCTAGCATTGTCATGGAAGGTCCTAAGCATGAATTCTGGGATTCTGAGGGAAGAGACAGCCGATGAAGCAAGACGCTGTTGAAACAGCCAAACATGAAGACAAAAATAATGCTGCTGCTTGTACTGGCACTCTGTTTATGTGACCTACTTGACGCTTGCAAGTCTGCTAGAACTTAGTATTTGTTATGTTATCGCCCAACTATTGTTCATGGTTACTGGTATGAGCTTTTATAGATGAGATGAAGTAGTTCTCTTGTCGGAGCTGACATGCCCTTCTTTCTTTCTCACGGATGAATTGAACAAGTTCATGTCGACAAGATTAGTACCGTAACAAGTGTTTGTGCTAATTCTTTAGATATGATGGTTTTACTGTCACAAAAGATGACCGAGGAGCAAAATTCTGAGTACTAGTAGTATGATAAATTGAAGTTAAGAGATAATGCGGCAGTTTCAAATCCAAAGGACTAGGTTCGGTACGAAAATAACGCATATCATTGCTTTATTCAGGCAGCTAGCGCGACTCATTCTCTAGAAGAATAGTCAAAATGAAAAGCTCAACAAACCGGTCATCGGAATTTCAACTTACAACAACAACAACAACAATCACATCGATCAACAAATTGATATACTATCGTGAGTTTTTTTTTCCAAGATAATATATATATATATAGCGGCTAGAGTGGGCGTCTTCGGTATCAAAGGAAGCATACCAAGATCAACACCATGTGGAAGGAGATAGCAGGTATCCTCCACATGGACCCTGCCAATACCGACCTCGAAGATCCTGCTTCTGCAATATACCAACAAGAAGAGGTTAGAGGCACATCTCATCGCCGACTCAGGTCGATAAACTCAGCCGCTCGGGCCTGGGGAGGGTCTGCAAGTTTAAGAGGCTACACTTACTCTCGCATGCTGGTGCTGTCTGGTTCTTGAAAACAGTGGTGTGTATGCTGAGTGAAGAGCTGTTGGAATAACCACTGTAAGCGCACATCTTGGAGTCGCAACCGGCGCCACTTGTCTGCCCAAGATTGAGCCCTTCGCCGCACGGCCGCACTGCTGGGCATCCCTTTTTTCCTTGCAGTGCGGTGCAATTTAGCCTGGGGGTCGCCACATCCACATGGGATAAAAATGGTTATTCTCATAGTCACTGCTTGAGAAACAGCTCAAGAGATATGGAAGCAGGGGAGCTCAGTTGCGTACTGGAAGGTGTTTGAACTGCAGCGGCACTGGATGCAGTCCTGCGCGGTGAGCGCGTAGGTGCCGTTCGGGAGGCGCAGATCATGATCAGCCGAGCTGTTGCTGATTGATGAGCTGCAAACTGAGTATACAAAAATTCGACGAGCAGTTAGTACCAGATTCAGAATACCATTTCGTATATGCGGCTTTGTTTTACGAACCATAATGAATACTAGTCAAAAGAATCCATCAATAATCTTCAAAAAGGCGTGTGCACTGGACAGTCCAGTCAGAGTCAACTTTGTGGATTAGTAGCGTGTTCATAGTTGGAGACCGAAAAGTCAGATAGTTTGCCCGGAGAAAGCAACAGCTAACAACCAATTAAACAAGTCCAGGTAGGGCATCAATCAATTGAAGCTTCAAAGCTTATTTTCTTCAACAAATTTCACACCACAGATGCATTTTTTTTCTGGACAATTAAACGGTTGCAATATAATAGCTTTATGCCCTGGCACACAGGATGGGCATATAGCGACGTCTCTAAAAGCTTTCAAGTTCAGAGTGGAAGCATGAATCTCTCTGAACAACTGAAGCATGAGCATCAACCTCATCTCTTTCAGATCACCAGTCATCGCTGAATATTTCGAATAAAGCTCCACACAAGGGGACCATGGCTTAAGTTGATTGAAGAGGCCTAGAAGGTACTTAACCTATTATATTTGTATAAATGAAATCACTGACTGAATCCAGGCCATATAGTACTACAACTAGCATCTTGCAATAATTCATCAGAGCTGCACTCTGACTTATCATTTTTAATCAAAACCAACACAAACTAGCATAACTTCGATTGGGCAAATTAAACAAGGAAGCATATATAATTTTAAGCTTCCCCAGTCCTAGGTCATGCGTGTGGCCGTCCATAATTAACTCATTAGTTTATCCTAACTTGCATTCTGGCAGACTGCCGCCAGTCAACTGAAAAAATTCAATACAAACTTGGTGGCAGTACCTCATATTGCAAGAGTAGTCCTACTTTGCATCTTTGAAAATAAAACAATTACATGTATGAATTGAAGCATATGTGCGACATTAAGAAGAACACGGCACAAGCACTTCCTGGAGAACATATCTGAATCGCATTCTTGATTAATAACTAGCATCCCGCAATAATTTATTTGAATCGCATTCTAGGTTAATTTTTAATCAGAACTCTAGCAGTGAGTCAGTAACAGCTAAGCTCCATTGGGCAAATTAAACAAAGCAACTGAACCAAAATTTCCCTAGTTTCCCCAATCCCAGGCTCCCAGCTGGTACTGCGTGTAGTTGACTGTAATTAGTCTATGCTATTGTAATCCTAATTTGCACTCTTCCTTGGTACTACTAGTCTACTGGCAAGCTTCAAGACAAACTGAAATCTGAGTTCAGAACTCACTTCTCTGTAAGAAATTCAGAACTCACAAGATGTACTCCCTCTGTCCCAAAATAAGTGTCTCGACTTTGTACTAGCTCTAGTATAAAATTGTACTAAGCTCAAGACACTTATTTTGGGACGGAGGGAGTATGTGTAACGTGAAGATTGAAGAAGAAAGAAGAGAGCACAAGTAAGTAAGTAATTTTATACGTACCAGGGAGCGGGACATCAAGAACCTGGTCCTTCTGCAGTGTCTTGGGGTCGGTGATCTTGTTGAGCTTGAGCAGCGTGTCCTCGGTGACGCCGAAGGTGGCGGCGATGCCGGAGGTGGTCTCCCCGGCGTCGACGATGTGGGCGAGGTGGAAGACGTCGGCGGCGCCGTCCACGGGGTCGCAGCTGCAGGGCAGCGGGATCCAGAGCTTCTGGCCGACGGTGATGAGGTTGACGTCGGCGATGTTGTTGGCGGTGGCGATCTCCTGGTAGGTGACGACGGCGTCGAAGGAGTTGCGGGCGATGGCGTCCAGCCCGTCCTGCGGCTGCACGGTGTAGACGGGCGCGTGGTCCGACTGGCCGACGCCGTTGCCGGCGCAGAGGCAGCGGAAGGGGATGCGGACGGTGGCCTTGGCTCGGACGCGCTTCTTGGGCGAGGTGGCGAGCGGGAGGTCGTTGGCGCCGAGGAGGCCGGCGAGGGTGGTGGTGTTGAAGCGGGCGAGGAGGTCCCCGTAGGTGGTGGCGTTGGGCACGCGGTAGCCGATGGCGGAGTGGCAGGTGGTGCCCCGGGGTGCCGTGCAGGTGAAGTTGGTCGCCGTGGCCGTGGCGGCGAGGTGGAGGAGGACGAGGAGGGCGGCGGCCGGCACGGCCAGCCGGGCGGGCGGCGACGGCAGCGTCATGGTGGGAGCTAGCTAGGGGTAGAGTGGGAATGGGAGGCGTTTGACTGCGGCGTTGACGCGGGTGGAGGAGGATGAGATGGTGCTCGGCAGCTCTGCATTTGCTCACCGGAGCGGAGGCCCGGCTTAAATGGTCGTATGTGCTGTGCGGGGCCCTGCCCCCATTTATTCGTTTTTGGCTCGAAACGGAAGATAAACCTCCGGCTGGCTTAGCCGACATGTGATCCCAAAGTGTGTGAAATGAATGGGGATAAAATCGTACTCCCTCTGTAAACCTCTAAAATTCTTTCAAAAACAAACCGCTAAAATTCATAAAAAATATAGGATGATACGCCATGCCGCTGTAAATTCCGGTCTATTAATTTTGTATTTTGTAAGTTTATTAAGAACACCTCTAAAATTTATTCGTTTTCTAAAGTCTAAAATTTTTGCAAGTTCCGGTGAACTCAAAAGGAAAAAGAAAAACGCAGAACCCCAATTCGGAGAAGGTACAAGCTCAGCGCAGTGAAAAAACAAGAAAAGATTGTTCTCTGGCGTGGCGTTCCACAGGGGCTGCGGCGACCGAAGCGCGTGAGGTGCGACTAATAAGCGAAGAGGAGCAGGAATTCCACGCTCACAGGTCGCGTCACGAGGAAAATGATTACAACTCTGCCAGCCAGAGTGCCACGCTAGCCGTCTCCAACAGAAAAACAGGTCAACGCCGGTGTGGACTTGCAAGTTTGAACGGCGGGCCGGCGGCCAAGACCATATCATACGGCAGGGTGAGACGGTTTTCACGCCGGTCCATATTTCTACCTCTCTCCCTTGTCGCCGGGACAAGGACGTACCACCCTCTCTACTAGTCCAGCCCCATGGTTACAGCAAATCCGACCACAAACAGATTTTGAGCACACGGCGAGATTTAACCGCGAGCGGGTCGATTATTTCGCCTACTTTGTCTGTCTGTCAGAAAAGAAGTGTCTGCTAGAACCAACGGAATATGCTAGTAGAACATGAAGGCGAAAAAAATACACGGGAAAGAAAGATCTAACCAATGAACCAATGAAAGCCACATTGCGCTTGCTGCTCTTTTCTACTCCCTCTGTAAATTAATATAAGAGCGTTTAGATCACTACTTTAGTATTCTAAACGCTCTTATATTAGTTTACGGAGGGAGTACAAAGAATGAATGATGGAGGCAAAACCGGGGGGCCTGAGCTCTACTCCTGCGACCGACCGCAAACTCACTCCAGGGACGAAGGCGGCATGCCGGGCGGCTCCTCCGTGCGCGGGGGCGACGAGCTGAAGTCGATGGTCGGGAACACCCCGGGCGGCCTCTCCACCGGCTGTATCGACAGCAGCTGCGACGAGTCCCCGACGACGTCCGCCCACCCGTAGTGAGGGTCCGCCCTGGCATATGGTGAAACGCACAGGAATATGAGATCCAACCCGCACAGGATGATTTTAGTTCTGGTCGTTTTCTCTCTGGAACCGTTTATTGGAGTTGGCAATAAGCTTCAGGGGTGCAAAATCTTACTCGTAGTATGTCTCCTCGTCGACGACTAAATCCCAGCTCTCGCCGGTTGTGCTCTTCCCGTACTTATGAACTTTACTGAAACATATGAACTTCACTGGTTATCCACTGATAGTATCATATATATACTAGAACGATTTCAGCACAGATCTTAATAACAACATCATGACGGACGGCACATACCCATTGCCGAAGTGTTCTTCTCCCCAAGTCCTTGACCAGCCTGAAAGTTTCAAATCAGATAAGTAACTGGCTATGAAGATTTCATAATATAAGTTATACTGCTAGCGCTATACATGTTGAGCATCCAATTTCTAAGAATGAGATTCTGCATATACTGCATGCAACTTACACAGAATGGTACTGTTTCAATTAGTTTACAGTATTTAAAGGATCTCAGTCGTTGGTAATGTATGACCCAATTGCCACAAACTAGCTAGTTAGTGCTATTTCTGATGTGGACAGCAGCAAAAGACGCTACAAAGAAGTGCGTGGACACCAATGCTGTTGGACGTGTGTTTGAGTAGACAGCTAGTAGCATCTTAGCTAGTTGGACACGATGAGACGCAACATATGTGGCTACGAATGACATTTTTAGGAACTAACTGGTGAATAGTTAACAACTATCATGAAATATAATTTATTAGGCAAATAATAACATTAATCAAAATTCATAAAGAAGCTACGGGTTGGTTTTTGGCCTAGATACTTTATGAAGAATGGGCTGTTTGTTTACGGTTGGGCTAGCCAACATTCAGGATTGTACATAATGTTTTTCATCAATCAATGCAACAAGCACAATGCTTTGCATTTCGTGGAAGCTTGTACAAATTGGTTGGTACATGAATGTTCAGGGAATATCTTTCTGTCACCATTAAGGTAGTGAGCCCAGCGCCAGCCTGTAGGTCAAAGGGAATCACAAAAGGCTATCATGCATGATTAGCAAAAACAAACAGGGTGGTAGTTCCTGGTGTAGCTCTGTTCACAACAAACCTTTGTAATTTATTGAAGATATAGGTAAAAAAAATATAAGGCATAGTGTTATTGACCCCCTACCGAGGATATGTATGTCAATATTATTAAGTTAATGACTAGCATCCAGCAGAGTACATTGTTATGTTATCAATGGTGGCGAAACTTACGGTCACCGCCAGGAGAAGCATGCCATGTCTCCCCTTGTCGTGAACCAATTCCAGCAAAGAATTTCTCTTCCCATTTATCTCCCCATCTGGTGCCTAAGTCTGTCTCTGCCCACTTATCTGTCCTGTAAGACCATCAAAGAGATTGCAACAGTTGTCAATCTCCATTGGACAGTGCAAACTGGCAAATACAGTATGTATGGTAACCTAAGGCATTATGACTAAATCTACAGTTTAATACTCATAAACCACTGAATACATATAGTCCGATTACTCAGTAATACACAGGTAGGAAGGTGCTTACAGAGTAAGAAAGACGAAGCTCAAGAAGCTCACCATTTCAATACAGAGCCACGACCATCGTAATGTTCACCCCATCTCTCCCACCAGGACTGCTCATTTAACCTCCCGTATTTATGCGCACCTTTTTCTGTCCAGCCCTTGGCATCATATTTCTCCCACCTTGGAGAAAAAATAACAGTTCAATTAAATAATCAGCAGCACCACCTGTAACCAAACCTAAACAAAAACACAATGCAACTCTCACCATTTTTCATACCACCCAGCATTTTCTGTCCCTGATTTGGCTTGCTTCTCTGCGCTCTTCTCGAGTCTTGCAAGATTGCTGTGTTACACAATTTAAAGATTTAAACCATGATCTAGCCTTACGGGCTGCAAATTCATATTTTCTTATAATAGGGTTATTACTTACTCCCTCCGTCCCATAATATAAGAGCGTTTTTTACACTAGTGTAGCGTTAAATACGCTCTTACATTATGGGACGGAGGGAGTATTTTCCATTTTCTTCACATAGATACTACTGTAATCGATGCTACAAATACTACACCAAAAGTGAATATACATTACAGTGATTAGCCCTTTGTCTAGTAGCAGGTGCTATCTAAACTGAAGATTGGAAGTATAGTGGATAGGAAGAAAAACAGAGCTTGCAATTCTAGGAAGAATATAAGTGATATACTATGAGATATGCCACATGGTCAGGAAAATCATGATCCCATCTGTCTTTTGTGGATCTTATTCACTTGGGATACATAAAAGAGAAATCTACAGATGACCCGTGTGCTTGCTGTAATATTCATGACATTTTTAAGTAAAAAATGAGCATATGGCTTGGTTTTATAACCATCTTAGGTTCTATGTCCGCATATATGCAAGTACATCTATGGAATTTGTAAAAAAATTCAAAATCAACTTTCCATCATCAATGAACAACAAGGAATGTTGCAGTTACAATTGTAGTCACGTAGTTAGATATGGAATGGTTTCCTTTTATTCATTGAACGAGGAATGATATACTTATAACACTGAAATTGCAAGTCAACTAATTCACCTCCATTCGTCTTGGTGCAGAACTTCTTTCCACTTTTCCCACCAAGAGTCACCCTCAGCATTCTTCCCAGATTTCTCAGCACCTGACAAGTTAAAATTGTATTGAGAGGTCAAGAAATAATGACCACAAATGTATAAAGGTTAAAAATATTTCCAATGAACATAGATCAATTTCCGTACTACTCCTTACTATCCATCACATCAAGTAAATCCTTGTGTTATTTAACAATGGAACCAGAAAGACCATGTATCACCAAAAATGTGAAGCAAAGTTGTGTTACGAGAGCTTCCAGTATAAAGAGTAATTGCATACCTAGCTCTTTGTATCCAGTCCAGTCACTTTTCTCCCACCACTGCCACATAAAATAAATACACAGAGATTTGTTACATAAAAGATCAATGGATATTGTTACGGCACTCATAAACTCCTAAGAACTAGCTAAAGACTTATCAGTGATTAAAAAATAATCGGCTATCTGTGATATTATATTACATGCATACTTGAGCAACAACCTTTTGAAACCAAAACAATATTCACTTGATTGACATGCCTGTTTCAGCCACAAATGCAGACCTAGCAGATATGGGAAAGAAAAGGCAAGAACATACAGTGATGAAAACCAGAGTGCAGTCTATCAGAATAAGTAAAGCAGCGATAACATACAGTCTCTTTCCATTCAGTGGAACCATCATGGGTCTGTCCACCCATCCTGGCCCAGCGGCAACGGTACCCGTTCTCACCGAGATCCTCGCCACTCTCCCTGTACCAGGTGCTTCCATCCTCGTTGGTGCCAGACTCCTTGACCGCTTCATCGAGCAGGTTGATTCCCCATTCCTTCTCACTAGCAATACCAGTGTCTATAAGGCAGGTGCCAAAGAAACACACGCATTTCCTTAGCACCGCAGAATAACTACAGGTTGGGGCATTTTCACTTTGGAGTACACATCTGGGAAACATTTTTCTTCAAGATTAAAAGTGCCAGCAAAGCAAACCCACCTCTCTTGGGCGGGGTGTCGCGGGACTGGGGAGCCGGCCCTCTCGGCGTGCACCGCGGATAGAAATCATTCTGCTTGGGCTGCCTTGTAGAACTATACTAGTGAACAAAAGAGAATCGTGTATGAGAGATTTCATCATCAGTAAACAAATAGTAGCACTTATTCTGCAACAGCACAAAACATATGCACTATACTAGTAGTGTATGGTATGAATATGAAGCTTGTGTCTACAGCATTGGCACGTTAATTAAACTCTATAAAATTGCACGCATGTTGGAATAAAAAAAGAGAAAGCTCATGATTGTTGCCAGTGGCGAATGTGAGGCTAGATATAACTGGTAAGCGTATCTATCTGCCCAGAAAAGAAAATTAATAATGAATGTGCAGGAGGATAAATCCTAGATTCGCAGTGGCGAGCGGCCGCGCACGTACCGGGAGGAGGGGAATGGGAGCGATGGCGTGACGGTGAGGCCGACGCGGCGGCGTCCCCGGGCAATGGGCTTGCTCCCGTGGACGCGCTCCGGCGAGGCCGCGGCGGACGCCTTGGCGGAGAGCAGCAGCAGCCTCCGCGGCGGCGTGGGGTCCGGGCGGGCGTAGCAGCAGCAGCGGATCGCGCGCGCGGGGCCACGCGCGGGGCGCGGCCAGGGCCCTGCCCCCGCTCCGCCGCCCAGCCTCGCGGACAGATCGAAGGGCGGCGCCACGAGCCCTCCGGAGCAGACGGCCATCCTGTGACGCCGCGGGCCAGCGGGAGCCCAGGCGGCGGAATGGAGGCCGGGTCAGGCGCTGAGCTGGGAGGCGGAGGGGCGGGGGGCTTTATAGGGGCGCATCTCCCCGGCCGCCCACCAGAGAGAGCGACTGGCGGTGGCGGCCCGTGGATTCGGTCACGGGAACGGCGAGCCGGCCGCAAGTTAAGTTTTTTATCGGGAGATCCTGGCGGAGTGAGATGTCGTCATGGAGTATAGTGTGTGTGTGTGTGTGGTGCGGAGGTGGAGGTATATGCGGCTGGAGGGAGACGAAGGAGGCGCGCGGGTCCCTCCCGCTCGTCGGCGTCCGTCTCTGTCCATCGGATCGGCAGCGAGCGGCAGGCCGGTGTGCGACGCGATGCGGTGTTTTCGGGCGGGCGACGCAGACACGCTGCGTGGCGATCGCGGAGTCGCCGGTGTGCCGTGTGCGTGCACTCGTGACGAACGAGATGCTCCGTCCATGTGGATGCCATGTGATGTGAGTTCGGCCGTTGCAAAAAAAAAAAAAAAGAAGAAAAAAAAGACGAGCTCGGTCACGTATGCTATTGCTGGTGCTATGAGTCGTACGAATAAGAAACGCCAAACAGGAAATGACAAAAAGTGGGAGAAAAAGGACAAACAAGGCATGCTCAGATGCTGACATTGAGGATCGGCAATATAAGAAACTGAGAGATATGTTCTCATGAAGAAAAAGTGGGAGAAAAAGCTCACCAGAATTAGACTGCGTGAAGCAAACAATTGGGATTGGTGTTTTGAGACGGAGGAAAAAGGGAAAGAAGACTAATTAGTCTCTTCTCATACTGAGTTGGGTGTGTGGAGCCCGGCTTGTTTACTTGATCAATTACAAAAAGTTGTATAAACTATAGTCAAAAAATAAAGGGGAAAAATGAGGGGAGTTTTTTGGAATGTCAGGGGCATAGAACAGGACCATAAAAAAAGATATATTAGAGAGATGGTCATTGATCATAGATTAGATTTTATGGGGATCTCTGAAACAATAAAGCAAAATTTCACAAAAAAGTGAGTTACACAACCTATGTGGAGGAAGGAATTTTCAATGGTGCTGGAACCCACCTAGAGGGATGTCAGGTGGGATTTTAGTGGGGATTAACAAAGATATATTTGATGTGGAAAACATAGAAAAAGGACAATGCTTCTTGAGAATATTTGTGTTTGATAAAAATGCTAAAATGCACTGCAATTTGATCACTATTTATGAGGATGCTCAAATAGAGGAAAAGGCCAGCTTCCTAGCTGAGCTTGCCAGATTATATCATGACAATTTACTGCCCTGTTTGGTGGGGGGTGATTTTAACATCATTAGAAATTATAATGAAAAAAACAAACATGTACATAATGATCAATGGTCATTCATGTTTAATGTCATAATTGAACAAGCTGGATTGAGAGAGCTACCTCTAAATGGGAGACAATACACCTGGGCTAATAATCTGGAAAACCCCACTTATGAGAAGTTGCATAGGGTCTTGATGTGTCCAGCTTGGGAGGAAAAATATCCACTAACTATATTACAAGCATTTGCTAGGGAGATTTCTGACCATACTCCCATGTTTCTAGACACAGGAGAAACACAGAATCACAAATATACATTTAGATATGAAAATACATGGACCTTGAGGGAGGGATTTAAGGAGCTGGTATATAGAACATGGAATGAAAAATATAAAGGATATATTCTGGAGAGATGGCAATTAAGGTTAAGAAACTTAAGGAAAAAAGCAAAGGGATGGAATAAGAATGTGGATGCTTGGTATAGGAAAATCAAAATAGATATTATTAAAGAGCTGGATGAGTTAGATAAGAGAGCTGAGAAAATGGGACTAACTGCTGCAGACAGAACAAAGCAGAAAGATCTAAGGGCACAACTTAAAAGAGTGATGTTGCAAGAAGAAATAAAATGGCCGCAAAGATACAAAGATAGAGAGATAACTGATGGAGATGGGAACACCAGATATTACCATGCCAAGGTAAATGGGAGGAGAAGGAAGAACGGGATTATTTCTTTAGAACAGGAAGAGGGGATTATAGAGGGGGAAAGCAAGCTAATGGAATACATTACTAATTTCTATAAGGGACTATTTGGACATCCTGAAGAGACACAAATATCTATGAAAGGGGTGTAAATGAAGAAGATTAGCACCCAAGATAGGGAGGAGCTTATGGCTCCTTTCTCCTTGGATGAAATACATAAGGTGGTCTTTGGGATGAAAAAAAGCCCTGGACCAGATGGATTCCCTGCTGACTTCTACCAGGAATTTTGGGACTTGGTCAAATTGGATTTAAAAGCCCTGGTTGAGGGGTTTGCTAAAGGTGAAATAAACATTGCCAGACTTAATTATGGCATTATAACTCTTGTCACTAAAACAACTGAAGCTAAACAATGTCAAAAATTCAGACCTATCTGCCTGCTGAATGTTAGTTTTAAGATCATAACTAAAGTGTTGATGAATAGGCTGGCCAGATGTGTATCACCAGTAATATCTAAAACTCAGACTGCCTTTATTAAGGGCAAATACATTATGGAGGGAGTAGTGATTCTACATGAAGCTCTAAACACCTTTCATAAAGAAAAAGAGGATGCTTTAATTTTCAAAGTAGACTTTGAGAAAGCATATGATAAAATTAAATGGCCATTTGTAATACAAATGTTAAACCTAAAAGGGTTCCCTGACAAATGGTGTGACTGGATGATCGAGACCATGAGGGGGGACATGTGGGTGTTAAGGTAAATGATGAAATTGGGCCATATTTTAAAACATTTAAAGGGTTGAGACAAGGTGATGCTATGTCACCTCTGCTTTTTGACCTGGCTATAGATGCTCTAGCTATCTTAATGAGCAATGCTTTAGAACATGATGTAGTTAAAGGAGTACTGAGAGGGGAGAATAATAAAGGTGTCAATATGCTTCAATATGCAGATGACACCATCTTCCTGATTAAGGATGATGTGGAAAGTGTGAGAAATCTCAAATTTATTTTGGGAGCCTTTGAACAGATGTCAGGCCTCAAAATAAACTTTCACAAGAGTGAGTTAATGCTATCTGGGAAAGCTACAGAGAAACAGCTATTATATCAGGAAATCTTGACATGTAAGATGGGGGAGTTACCTGTCAAATATTTGGGTATGCCTGTGTCAGATGCTAGAATTAGGAACATGCACTAGAATTGTGTAACTAACAAAATTGAAAAGAGATGCAGTTGCTGGCAAGGGAAGCTGTTAGGCGCTATTGCTGGCAGAATAACCTTGGTGCAAGCATTCTTGACAAATATTCCACTCTTTATGATGTCTTTTTATGCTGTCCCAAAAGGGATTATTAAAAAAGCAGACTTTTTCAGAGCTATATTGGTGTGGCAAGAGGATGAGAACGTTAAAAAAATACCACTTGGTTAAATGGGAGAAGTGATGCTTACCTAAGGATGTGGGGGGACTGGGAATTCTCAATTTGGAAGTGATGAATATTGCATTATTGGCTAAATGGTTTTAAAAAATGGAAATAGAGGAAGGCTTGTGGCAAAGTATAATTAGCAGGAAGTATGATGGGGGAAATGTTTAACCCTGATAGCTAAGAAACCTGGAGACTCCCAATTCTGGACAACTCTTATGAAAGTAAAATAAATATTCTATAAATTTGTCAAAAAAGAGTTAAGAGATGGGGAAAATGTGAAGCACATTAGTGCCGGTTTGTAAAAAAACTGGCACTAATGTGACCAATAGTGCCGATTCGTGGCTGCGATCAATAGTACCGGTTCGTGTTGAGCCTTTAGTACCGGTTCGTGCCACGAACCGATACTAAAGGGGTAGTGGCAGGCTGGCGTCAGGCCGGGTCCCCACAAGCCCCTTTAGTACCGGTTTGTGTTACCAACCGGTACTAAAGGTCTAACCTATAGTACCGGTTCGTGCCACG